TATTTATTTTTGAGACAGAGTCTCACTCTGTTGCCCAGGCCAGAGTGCCATGGCATCAGCCTAGCTCACAGCAACCTCAAACTCCTGGGCTCAATCAATCCTTCTACCTCAGCCTCCCAAGTAGCTGGGACTACAGGCATGTGCCACCATGCCTGGTGAATTTTTTCTATACATTTTTAGTTGTCTGGCTAATTTCTTTCTATTTTTAGTAGAGATGGGGTCTCTCTCTTGCTCAGGCTGGTCTCGAACCCCTGACCTCAAGCAATCCTCCTGCCTTGGCCTCCCAGAGTGCTAGGATTACAGGCATGAGCTACCACGCCCGGGCAAGATTTAAATTTAAAAAAATCCACACAGATGATCCTTCCAATAACCTATATTGGTAGGTCTTTAAACTCCTCTTTAGCAGCCGTCTTGTACATACCCCAATCTCAGCCACTTACTTCTATGGTTTTTGTAACCAATTACTACAACCTCTCCATAAATACAGTTTAAAGAATCCTACTCTGTAATCATCCACCACTTTCTAGGCTCTGCAAGTTATTCCTTCTAGTAGCTTGATGATGACAATCATTCCACTTCACTGGGACTGAAAAAATATCGATCCTCCCACTTTTTAAACTGTCCCTCAGGTCTTAATGTACTTACTTCCTTTTTTAGCAAGCTTATATTCCATGGTCAATCATAAAGATAATTCATTTGTACCTCTCCCCCTCACTTCTTCACATCCACGTGGTAAAACTACAACCCTGTTAATTTCAACTCTCCTTTTCCGTTTCCGTGCATGCCCACACACACAACCTTGCTATCTGATCCCCTTTAAACTCCTGACCACAAATCTCAAGTAGGCCCTTCATGCTGCCTATCAACAGTTCCACTAAATTTCCCTAGTTCAACACTCAACGCACTTTCTAAAGGACTACTCCCTACCTTTTCTCTTCTCAAATCTCCAACACCTTCCCCTCCATGCTAGCTCCTAGCTGATGACCTTGTTTCCTTCACTAACAGTAATAATCAGAATTGTCACAATCTCCTGCCATCGAATCTCCCCATTCACATATATCTGTACCCTCTGTCACTACACAAACTGCCAATGTTTCTAACAAACGCCAAATCCATCTTCTTTTTTTTTTTTTTTTGAGACAGAGTCTCACTGTGTTGCCCGGGCTAGAGTGCCGTGGCGTCATCCTAGCTCACAGCAACCTCAAATTCCTGGGC